AGTCATTTTGAATTATAACACAGGAAAAGAAATTGAAGAACACATAAAAAAGAACAAAAAATAAACAGTGAAAAAAAACCAAAAAACCAAGTAAATAAAAAAGAACATCGAAGGAAAAAAACAGATTTTAAAAAAGCGAAAGCATTGAAAAAGGTGATGCAAAAAGGAAGAAATTCTATTAAATCGAAAAGGACCAAAAATACTAAAATGGAAGAATAATTAATTTAATGTTTTTTAATTGATGTACAATTATTATTATAATTAATAATTACAATAGTGATATTATATAATTAATAATAATGAAATGATAAACTTAAAAATATATAAATTATATTATTAATTAATAACACATCGACTATCTGAACATACACAATTATATAATTATTGTATATAATTTTATATCACAATGGAATGTAATTAATATTATTAAATGATTTAAAAAAACAATTGTAATTTGATTATGATTTTTATTTAATTGTAAATAGTCAAAAGAGTAAAATAAATAAACTTATTATAATGCTTTTCATTTTAGTGTATTTAATAAATTAATTAAAACAATTATTATCATTAATTATAATTATTATACTTATTTATTTAATATAAAAACCATCTCGATAATAAATATAAATTAACTATAAACATTATATATTTTTGTAATAAATACAATAATACGGATAGATTTATTTTTGTAAACGAGTTTTAAATAAATATTCAACAAAAATTCAAATGACTTGAAATTTTGTTGAAAAATAAAGGCGAAAAAAGGCGAATTATTGAAAAGGCAATTTTTAAAAGGGCAGATTTTCCTAAACCCGGTCAAGTATATTTAACCCACTTATTGTTTACTATTGTTATACACATTATAATAGTATTATTAATTTACAGATCAATAGAGTGCAAATAATAATAAACATATAAATATGGTGATAATAAATATGAAATATAACAAACACAACAACAAAAGTTATAGAAAAGGTGTCAATGAAAGTCATTGTTGATTGTTACATATCACTGAAAACACATCATAGTCACACGTTAAAATTTTTCGTTTGACATTGATGACACATTCTCCTATGTCTAGTCGACAAGAGACTTCAGAACTACAATTTGATTTCAAAATCAAACCAATTGTGTCTGAGTCTTTCGATGACAAATTCGACGACTTTCCTGTTCGTGACACCAACGAATACTTGGACTTCATTTTTATGCGTTTAATTTTGGGATGATTTATTTCTTCATACAAATCAGTATTGATTCGAAGTTGAAAGATTTTCACACGTTTGAATGATCCAATAACTTTTTGATCGTCTGTGACAAACCCAAGAGGAAGGCAATACGTCTCCGTTGTTTTGTTATCAACAACAAATCCAAAACTGAATGTAGATACTGCAGGACCTTCCAGAACCAATGTTAATATGAGGTAACTGCCATATCCATAACACACAGAAATATCATTCCCAAAATACTCTCCTCTTCCAAAGGCTTGACCACTTCGTCTTCTCACATCAAATCCATTCTGCATGATTCCAGTAGCGTTCTCATAACTCCACGTCCCGTGCCAACACATAAAACAAGATTTTTTCATACAATCTCTTTGTGTGAGAACTTGTCGAAAAGATGAGCTGATCAATTTTTTGAATGGGGTGTTTTGGTCGCCAAAGAAAGGATTCATGTAGAAAAACAAAGGGAGATCGCCGCGAAAATAATAATTGTTTTTATAATTTGAATACGACCGTTGTACAAAATTAGTAATGACATCAATATTCTTTTTGAAGAACAAAGAGAAGTCTGATTTTCCCTGTAAATTATATGGGGTGTACTTACTTGTATCATCACTCAAATTCTCATCATCGGGTTGTTCGGGTTGAACGACTTTAATCGGCTTTTTGTTGATAGAAAAGGCAGTTTGGCAGTGTTGGCAGAAGACGTCTCTTTCCTTCTTTTTATCAAGTGGATCGATTTCTATTGCAGCGGTACAGTTGGGGCACACTACAATGTCGTCCTCTTCGAGTAAAGTCAAGTAAATCAATGTTGAGTTGTATTCCTCAATAATAGATTTATCGACGTGTCCAACCAACTCAAATAAAGTGAATTCGGTACCACACACATCACAACAACATTTTGTTTTGGTCGTGTTGCAATTAATGACCTTTTCTGTTGCGCACTCATCGCAAATGAAGTGGCCACATTTGGTGCCACAAACAAAGTGTTGGCAACTTTTTAATTTGTTGCAGTGATTACAGACACTCTCATTCTTCTCTTTGAAGGCTTTGATGTCACTTTCTATTTGAAAAGTAATCAAAGCGCGCTGAAGGTGTTTTGGAAGCCCCAAATAATTTTTGAAATGCGGAACTGAAAAGTCTGTGAATTTTTCAATTTCGATTTTCGACAGTTCAAATGTCGAAAAAATGTTGGAAAGATAAGACACCCAACTAAACACAAAACCAACCCCACCACTCGTGTCGTACTCATCTAACATTTCTTTGATTATTTCAGAAGCAACTGGTGGTGGAATCCAGTCGCAGTGAACTACAAAGTCGGGAAGCTCCCCGTCTTGGAGAGGAGGATCTGTTGGAATGTCAAGTGTGATGTCTGACAACGTTGTGAGAAAAGCACTCTTCTTGTCTTTGTAAGGACGTTGAATGAATTCGTCCTCGACAAAAACGACTTCAATTGGATTGGTGAGTTCGGTCTTAATTGTCACTTTTAATACATCGGCTTCTTGTCTCACTATTCCTGGAAAAATGGAAATGACAGTTTCCACCTCTCTTGAAAGGACCTCGTCTTGTTCACAATCAAGTGACATAAACAATTTATTAGTTTGTTTCGTTTTAAATCGAAGAATAAATCTTATTTGACTTTTATGAAAACTGCTTTGAGTCTTAACAATTCGGCTTTTTTGAAAGTAAAACCAACCTGAAAATTAACACCAAAGTTGGACTGGTTGTGATAATTAGTTGTGGTAATCTTTATAAATATTGGTATAAAACAAAAAACATAAAAAAGAAAAACAAAAAATCAAAAGTACAATTCATCACATAATTGTTACCGATATAATTTATTTTATTTGTTGTTTTATTTTAACTAAAAAACTATTAAAATACACAGAAGTTAGATTAAGTTTATTTATTTTTATTGAAAGAGTGGTACAAGATAAAACGAGCAAATGAAAGGAAGAAATGAATTATCTCATTGAATTGACAAAGTTGCAGAATTGTCCCCAGGCAGTTCCATCATCAAGAAGACCTCTTGTCATTCTAAGGTAAGTGAAGGCATTGAGGTTGTGCTGTTTGGCCTTATTGACAATTTGGTTGAATCCATTAGTGTTGCATCCGCCATACCCACACAACTCAAGTGCGTTCTCTCCACACTTCCCAATTCCAACTGAAGAAGCAGCATTCAAAGCTTGGTCGACAAGATTAGCTGGCTGACTGCCACAATTAGAGTCTGTGCCCGACATCTCGAGGCAAGTGAAGTCGAATCTGATGTTATTCTTCTTGAAGGTATTTGACAGTGTTTTGTAAGCGTCATTTCCATTAGAGTTGTAATAGCCCGCTGTCATCTCAGCTGCGTGGCTGTTGTCAGTCCACCACCAATGAACTCCACTGATTTTCCCAGCAAGTGCCAAGTTGTCGCCAAAGACACTTCTTGCTGCAGACAACACTTTGTCGGTGTGGCTCAACAAGAGGTCGAAGTACCATTGTTGGAAGAACTTTCCGTATTCGCTCTGGTAGTTGTCGTTTCCATTTCCAAAGAAACCAGTTGATGTTGGTGGCTTGTAGTTGTACTGACCCGCATTAGTTGGGTTGTGTCCCCACTCGGAGTGTCCAGCATTGTTTGCTGCGTTCTTCAAGTTCTCCTGTGACTTGCTGTCGCTGCACTGGAACTCTCCAATACCGCAGTAACTCCATCTTGAGAGTGGATATGATGGGTATCTTGTCTCACCACATGGTCCCATACCAACTTGGATCTCATTGAGTGTTCCATCGTCGATGTAACTCTGGAAGTTCTGTTTGAAAGACGCCATGAAGTCCTTGTAGATTTCAATTGGGGTTCTTCCTTCGAAGATGCTCTGGTCATCATAAGCAAATGAAATGTACTCGTTAGCGACGTTGTTTTCGGCGTCTTTGAAGAAGGCGTCATTGGAAGCGCCAGCGTTTCTGACCCATTGTGGAATCTCAATAGTCACAGAGTCTCCAACATTACCACCACACTTGTGGAACGACATCACTGCTTGGAACTTAAGACCAGCGTTCTTCACCATAGAGACTAAGGTCTTGTAGGCATTCCAATTGTAAGTTTTTGGCGAAGTCTCTACAAGTCCCCACCAGACATCAGACATGACACCGGCAACACCCGCTGACTTGATCTTGTTGAGATCGTTTTGAAGTTGTCCCTGGTTGTTGACACCATTGGAGTTAACAGTGTCAAGTGGCATCATCAAGTTGACTTCAATCGCCAATGCGACTGAGAGGAGTGTGATGAACGTGAACATCGAATTGTTATCTGTGTCGCAACGATGCTTATATACTTCCCATTACAACTTTTCCTACTTTGCCCAGTCGCATACTTTTCAAGTGGAATTTTATTGGAAGGCGACTTTTCTCTTCGTTTTTTTACTTAGAAAGATAATAATCAATCCCGATATTTTACTAAAACTTGATATGTCGTAGTATTTGAAAAGTTTTTTGAAAAAAAACAATTTTTGGGTTTTTCTTGAATTTTTCTTGATATTTTTTGGGAAAGAAAAAAGTAACACTGGCCTGTAATTCAGGATTACAAAGGGTGGATTATTCTCGTCTTTTTTCAATTGCTAAGTTTTTGTTATTAAAAATGTTAATAAAACAAATTATTAATTAATTATAAAAATAAAAAATGTTATCTACATATATAGATTGTAGTAATTTACCACACTAAAGGTATATACAATGAATAAAGTGAATACAAGTGTTTATATAATATAACTAATAACAACAACATCGAATAATCAACATATAATTAATGTACAATTGAAGAGACGCTTTCATTGTTTTGTCTGAAGAAAGCTGTGATATCGTTGCAACTGTCATCAATGATACATGACTTGGTTCCCATATGGTTCAGGATATTGTTGTGTATCCGATTTCCAAGTTCTGTAATTTCTTTAGTTGAGAAGTTACATCCTCCGAATCTAAATTTGACACTTCTTTTCATTATTTTTATAAATGATTTAATTCTATAAATAAAAAGGATTTAATAATAAATATCTTTTGTTATTAAAAAACCATTCAAAAACCAACAAAAAACTATAAAAAAACAGATTAGACCCATTTTATAGCTCCAATGAATTCGACAGTAAATTTGTCTCCCTCCACAAATTTCACGTTTGCGTTTGGATAGATCTTTTCTGGACTGTTGATCTTACACCCTGTTTGTTTGATTGCGAAGAATCCAAGACACGACAACACAAAATCTTTAGTCTTAGGTGAGTACACACAAAGACTTTTGTTTGAGTTATCTTGCAAGTAAAAAGCCTTTGGTTCTGTATGTGCGGGGTTACACAAACTGAAAATGAAGTGTTTAGGGTCGTTCGATATCGTCTCGCCGTCTTCTTCTTTTTTAGCAGCTTTTGCAGTTGGTTGTGGTATAACAGCGGCGTTATACGACCCAAATACACTTCCGTCTTTTGCTACAATAACTATCATGATATTCTCCTTCCCACAAATCGCATTATTCAAGTGGAAGATATCCAAATTCTTCAAATTGCGACACTCAAATATCACACGAGGAGCAGTCATCCCAGTCCATTGATGGAAGGTGTTATAGTATAACCCTAAGTACTCACATTTATCCAACTCGTGAAGGTATATTTCGCTCCAAATCGCATCGTCCATCCGTTTCATATCAACACAATTCATTTGTATCTCTTCAATAGTCTCGCTGTACTTCTTGACTGTGTCCGAAAGTTCATTCACACGTTTCTCACACTCTTTGTTACTTGCTTTCTCAAGCCGTTCAATCCGTTTCTTGAATTCTTCCAGCGTCGTATCCATATTATCCATCTCCTTCATCACTTCATTTCTCTTACTCTCACTGTCTTTCCCAATTTTCTCATTTGAAGATAAAACGACTTTTATACTCGCCTCACTCTCCTTCTTATTGTTCTCTACCGTCTTTTTTACTTCATTGATTGTGCTCTCAAACTCACTCATCTTCGACTTGAACTCATCTAACTCCTTCTCGGTCTCTTTCAACACTTCTTTGACAGTCTTGAAGTCTTCCTTCAGTTTGTTCATTAGTTTGGAGTCTTTCTCGCTCTTTTCTATGTCGTCGGCAGCAGGTGTCTTCGACTTCTTCAAGTCGACAGAAGACCTTTTGACTTCATTGACACCCTTCTCAATAAGAGAAAGTCTCTTTATTATACTCTTCAGCTTTTCTTCTTGTTTCGACTTGTCAGAGTCATTCGGTTGCTTCATAATTTCTTCAGCAGACTTCTGAATGACGTTCATTTTCTTTTCTAGCTCATCAGCCATTTCCAAGAACGTCGTTTTGATGTTGTCGACATCGTCCTCAAGCTTGATTTGATCTTCTTTCATCGTCTCTATAGTTTTCTTTATCTTTTCAACTTCCTCGTTGTTTGGTATTGACTCCAATCGTGTTGACTTTTCGACTTTAACAGAGAACTTGTCAAGTGCCTTTTGCAGTTCGTCATTTCTCTTCGTGAAAGTTTCCATTTGAGACTTCAATTCCGTTAATTGTTTATCATCGTTTTGTTTCTTCTCGACAACACTAATTTTGTCACAAAGTGTTTTGACTTCCTCATCCGTCTTACTTTTCACCTCCAAAATTTCTTTGTTATGTAATTCACACCGAGAAATTTGGCTTTTAATATCTTCAATTTGTGTTATACAGAGTTGGTATTGCTGATTGGTCACACCTTCAGTCTTTTCTTTATTCTCTTCGTCTTGTTTATGACTTCCATTACATTGAAACTCTTTTCCAATTGCCTCTATTTTGTTCTCCATGTTCTTTATATCTCGATCGTGTTTCTCATCAACTCCGCTTTTGACCTCTTCAATTCGTGTATTCAAGTTGTTCACTTTTTCAACAATCGACTCTCTCAACACCGTCAATTTGTCATCGTTACTCTTTCCTACCGTTTTTAATTCACTTTCATAACACTCAAACTTGTGTCCAAACGTCGTCTTAAAAGTACTTTGCTCCTTCTCAAGACTCTCTAGTTGTCCTTTCATCTCTTCAAAGTTGGTCGCAAGTTCACACGCAGAAAGCATTTGTTGTTTCGACTCCTCTCTGACTTCGCTATTTGTTTTGTCGTGTTTTGTCGTTTTAAATTTGTCTTTGACGGCGTCAAATTGCTTTTTAAAATCTTTGAAGTCTTCAACACTCAAATATTCTCCCTGCGATTTTTCGAGTTTGTCGCATCGTTTTTCAAGTTCAGAAATTCCTTTCAACTCGCCTTTGACATTTTCAATCTCCGCCTTTTCATTTTGTTCCAAGTCTTTGACTTTAATAGTAACTGCATTGATTCCGCTCTCTATTTTACTGATACTTTCATTGTCTTTCAGTCCTTCTATTTGTTGTTCAATATTTGAAATGGTGTCTTTAAGACTGGTGATTTGACCTTCACTCACTTTTGTGTCTTCCACCTCTTTAACTCGTTGTTCGATCTCTTTGATTTTATCCTCGGTGTTTAACACTCTTTTCTGTGCACTTTCATTGTGAGTTTCAAGTTGTAAGATTTTCTGTGTTATTTCTTCAACTTGACTTTTTGTGTTATCTAGCTCGGCAGTGCGTTGGTTGTGTTCCAATTGATTTTGACTCTGTTGATGCCTTTGAATATCGTATTCAAGTTCTTTCACTTTATCTTCCAACTTTTGGATGTTCTCCGCATTCAATTTGTTTTCTTTTGTGTTGCGGACTTTAACTTCTTTTACATCGTTTGTGACATCTTCGAGTGTTTTTTCCATTTCGCTTTGTTTCGTGTTTGTCATTTCAAAGAGTTTCAATTGACTCTCAATATGTTCGACTTGAGAAATGATGTCCTCCTTATTGTCTTTCTTTTTAAATTCCTCATTTGCCGCTTCTATCGCTGCAATTTGTTTTTTAATTTCTTCAATTTTGGCGTCCACATCACTCGTCGTAGTCTTTTCATGATTCTTGTTGTGGAGTTGAAGACTCTCTGATACTTCAGTCACACTCTTCTGTATTTCTTCGACTTTTTTGTTCAGTAATTCATGTTGTTCTTCCATTGTCTTCACTTTAGTAGTGTTACTTTCAAGCTCCTTTACTTTCTTTTCCAATTCCTCGAGTTTTGGATTCACGACGTCTGTTGATGCGTCACTTTGTTTTATTGTGCTTTCTTTGTTTTGTGAATTTAAAGTTGTTTCTATTACTTTCAGTCGTTTCTCCATTTCCTTTGTTTTCAGTTTAAGTTGATCGAAGAGATCTTGGAAGTCTTCGTCTCCAACCAAATTTTGTAAGTCTTTAATTTGGCTCTTCATCTTTTTGATTTGGTCTTCACTCGCTCCATTGTCTTTAGAATGTGCACTCAAACCTTTCTCTTTAAGTTCTTTTAAGTCTTTCTCAAGTGCTTCCATCTTTTCAAAACCTTCTTGAGAATCAGTGAAGAGAGACTCAATATCATTTTTAATAGTTTCTAATTCACTTGCATCACTCGTATCGCCTTTTTTCTTCGTCCCTTTCGACCCACTGAAGTTCTTCACTTTCTCAGCCATTTTGTCGATGTCGTCTTCGTTATACCCAACTCGCTCTTTCAACTCGTCGATCGCATCAAACAACGCGTCGACGTCTTTCTCTAAATCATTTGAAGGACTTCCACTCCCCTTTTTACTCGACTTTTTAAAAGAGTCTGCAAGCTCTTTAAACTTCTCTTCAAGTTGTTTGTTGTTCCGTTCTAGTTGACTCACCTTGACAGATAGCGCTTCCATAAAGTTTTGAATTTTGAAGTTCATTTTCATCAAAATGATATGAAACTCTTCTTCATAATTTTATCGAAAATTCAAGCGACCGTCCCAAGTTCTTGACTTTATTAGAAATGGCATTTTGAGCGTCTTTTGACCATTTCATTTTTATTTTTAAATATTTCATTGGCTAAAAATCACCAATTACGAATACTCGCCATCGGTTTTTAATAGTATTTTTATATTTTATCTTTTCGTGATATTTCTATAAATACTTTTCTAGTAAATCGACATAAAAAGAACGTTGTTCGTTGGAATTTTTTTATTCTTTTTACTATTGTTTAAAAACTTTGTTCTCTCATTTTTAGCCATCAAAATCTTCGATTACAACTAGAGCTCGGCATTCACTTCGATTATTCACCATTTTCTCTCTTATTTGTTCTATTATTATAATATTATTACTATATTATAAAACAATTATACTGAATAGTTTTTTTTTAAAATATGTTTTAATGCCTCCAAAATTCGATGTTTCACCACCATAAGACATCGTTTGTATTCTCATTTGTTTTATAAATAAAATATAATTAATATTATTTTACTATTCGTTGATAGTAAATAATCACATTTGTTTTGTGGAAAATGTTAAATCTTGAAAATGATTTTTAGTTTTGAATGAGATTATTTGGGCGGAAAGAGCGCATTTATATCAAAGGAAGATTTGGTACAACAGCGTTTAATTGAACTGAATGATAATGCATCAAAAAGACACATGGACGATTACTTCAACTTAGCAGTGATAACACTCTTTGTACAATTTTCAATTCTTACCGTTTTGTGGTGTGAAGTCTGACCTTTAACAACAGCCACACTTGACTTTTTAACACTAAAAGATGTTGCGATGAAATCAACAACCTCACTGTTTGCCTTTCCATCAACCGGTGGCGCGTCAATAGCTATTTTTAATAGCCCATCCTCGATCCCTTGTATTTCACTATTTCTTGAATTTGGTTTGACGTTGATTTCGATAGTAACACCCCCATTTTGTTCTTTCAGAAATGGAAATGCGTCGTCTTCATTTGGGGAGATTTTGGCGTTCATCACTTTCTCATCTTTTGATGTCTTTCCGCCACTTTTTGACTTTTTATTTTTCCCCACATTTTTCGACATTTTTTAAGTTCGGATTTTTAAGTTTTTTTAACAAAAACACTTTTTTATTTGTTTTTTATTTTTCTTTCAAAAAAATCATCAAGCGTTGTCTCAAATGATTAAAATACCATATAGTTATAATTGTTTTTATTATACATTTTAAATCGTGATTGGGCATTATGCCGATGTGGGAAAGAACAACTACAAAATAAAAACTTAAATTGGAAAATTCTACCAGTTAGAATTTTCGTTCCAATTATTTTTTGTTTTTGTATTTATGATTTTTCACGTTTTATTCTCATTTTTGCG